TTGAACAGCGGCCATGGGAAATGAACATGACATGAACATGTGCCGGAAGCGAACGTGCCATGAACATGTGTTACTGGAGGAGCGGCCTGTGTGAAACGGAAATCGAAATATTTCTCTAGTCCTGCAGCAGCCCTTGCATAATCATGCGTTGTCCCAGCTTGCCCCAAAACGTAAAGGCCCAAAAGGGGCATATGCAGCAGTATGTATATAAGGGCACCATATAGAAACCTTGAAAAAAACCGCAGGTTAGGGACATTCCCTAATTTAGCTAAGGCCGAGGTACTTCTTGTTGTCCAAGCAAAGCATACAACCTCCAAATCCAGCAGCTATACGACAGCTCCTAGCCCCCCGAATCTAAACCATTCAACGCCCCTGCTTGTCCTCGAGTGTTGGAACTGATCCCATCTGAGCAGTGTTGTGTTGGTGGTTGAACCTAGTAAGATAATATTCCTTATATAAAATACTATACCCCAAAAGGAGGATACAATCTTACTCTATATTGGGTACCATAGTATCCCCAAAAAAATACTACTAAACCCTAAATCCTAAACCCTAAACCCTAAACCCCTAAACCCCTAAACCCTAAACCTATTGGGTACCATAGTCTCCCCCTCCCCCAATAAAATACTACTCTAATATGCTCCTGAGCTCAAGGGTCCCCTGATCTTACCATCCTTTGGAGAAACCCTGAATATCATGGGTTCAACTAGTACCCCCCTCTATACTACCAGTTAAGCCTAATTAAGGTTAACTAAGGGGGCAACCTAGGGGGGGTAGTATAGAGGGGGGTACTAGTTGAACCCATGAGAATGTCCCCGGCATGTCCCTGCTAATCGCAACCCTCCAAATGTATCTCCCTAAACCCTAAACCCTAAAACCCTAAACACTAAAACCCTAAAACCCTCAAACCCTAAACCCTTATGTCTCTCAGCTGCATCCCTCTAACTCCCTTCTCAAGCTTCATACGCATGCGGTCCTCTGGCGAAAGTTGGAAGCCGAACTTCTCCAAAGCCTGCTGGAACTCTGCCACGGTGAGCACCTGGATGAGAATCTAGAGTTAGGGTTTAGGGTTTTTGGGTTTAAGGCTTAGGGTTTAGGGTTATGTGCTCCGGGTCACGGTTGGTCTTGGGAGACCTAAACCCTAAACCCAAACCTCTGAACCCTAAACCGCATGGTTGAGGGATCAATGCCTGAAATCCTAAACCCTAAACCCTAAAGCCTAAACTCTACAATTTACTATGCGTTCCCATTATGGTACCAGGACTGCAATGGATGTGGGCCTCGACTTCGGGATGATACGTACTGGGGGAGGATTATACAGGGACCCATAGGGACACATCTGATTAGAAGGGTTCCGGGTTCGGGAGATTACCCCGAGAGTGGAGAATCAAATGGAAAAAGAACATGGAACATGAAATGGAAGCTGGGCTTATATAGGGTCCTATTAGAATAGAGAAGTCTCCTTCTTCCAATATCCAAAAAACAATGTAAATGTTACACAAGGACTGTAACGTAAGAGCCTCGATGCTAACCGAGGCTATTCCATGACAGTCCCTGGCACTACTACAGCAAAGTGTGCCCAGTTAATTCTTCACGCTTCATGGCGCCCGAGCTATGACGATGATGTCACCTCAAAATCTCCTCTTCTGAAACCGAGCGCGGAAAAAATGGATGCAGCTCAGAAGCCCGCTAAAGAACTGCCAAAGCTGCAGAAGAAAAACTAAATGCAGCTCCGAATCCACTGGTAATCAATAGTAACAGAGCTACCGTTATGGCCACTTCCTCCTGACTGACGATATGGTGCGCACTACGTCGTGAAGGATGATGATACCTGTTTGGTCACGTCCTTTGTGTAAGTCCCTGTAAACAATGCCTTAGCATGATCTCTTGTTTTTGCATCCCTCTGGACGACATCTTGTATGTACTAGGGCCTTGCGCACGGTCGATATATTCACTACCTCGTCTTGCAGACACAACCTTGAACGTTTTCCGATTGCGCAGAACTTCTTGTGTGTTACGTCCTTAATTACCCACGACATCTTAACGTCATTGCAGACGATGTCCAATGCATTACATTCTCTCTTGGGAATCTCACTGAGTTCATCCTCTCTATGGACGACATGTCGAACATTTCAGCCTTACGGTCTTCTTTATTGCGACCTAACGGTCATGTCGTGAGCTGCTCGCTACGGGGATGAGTTGGGCAGATTTTTCTCAGACCTTCTACCTTGAAAATTAAGGTGTTCCACAATACTCAGTTGATGGAGGATTTTTCAATATCAACAGGAGGAAGACCGCAATTTCAAATCCCGTACACCCTAAACCCTAAACCCAATTTCAAATCCTCTGATTAATGCAGCTTGATTAACGCCATCATGGTCGCCGTCGAATTTCCTCCACACTTTCTTACTGGGGGTTACCAGGGAATTAGGGAATATAATCCGTATGTAAGCCCCATATAACATATTCCCTGAACCCATAAACCTTACTTGAATATATTCCCATTTTCCCTACTAACCCAGCATAAGCTTTTGGAAGTGGTGGCTTGGGCAAGCTACGGGCTCCCTAGGATTTCGATGGAGGTGGCCTGGGCGTGGCTATGGTAAGAGGCTTGGGATCCGCTGGCGTGGATCACTTGGAGGGCCAGGGGAAAGCAGAAAGTAGGATAATGACTGGGATCATTGGGGTTATTATATAGCTTATAGAGGTTAAAGGTATACTTACCAAGTTCCCCCGACCCTCCAAATAGTGAATAGGGTTTAGGGCTTACTAGAACCCACTAGTTGCCGCGACTTTGACAACCCCCAAGTGAATGCTTGTCCATCTTTACGGGCCCTTGGCTACAGTCCCCCTCAAGTAGACAGAATAGCGCTTTGGGTATATTATGACAAGATCCCCATATACCCCCGTATTCTATATACTTAGGGGGGACTATGACGCTAAACCCTAAACCCTAAATAGTAGTTTCCACTCCATCTACTTAAGTGGACTTGTTAGGGATATGGGCAATTCCTCAAAAAGTGTCCCCTAGATGGTCCCTCAAAGGGATCCGATGATCATCCCTTCGGGCCCTTTACAGGGTTCCTAAGGGACACCCTTTTTGAGAAACACCTGGGGTTTCAGGGCGATACAAAGAATTTAGACTCAAACCCCCTATAATCCGCTATATAATCCCAATTTCCATGTCATTTTCAATGTTCTTTTCCATTCGATTCTGCAGTATAGGGGGATAATACAGTAACTTGACCACGATATACCATAATATACCATAATATGCCATAACCCTTAGACTTGGATGTTCAAGGGGATTGTTGGGGTTGCTCTCCGGGATGTCATAAAGGTTATTTCGAAGAGCACCCGTGTGAGTTTTCGTCTATGTGAGGAGATGTAAGAGAACACCCCAAGATTCAGATGGCAGTGACAGTTATACGCTCCCTAAAAACAGGATGTTCATGAGAAAGACAGCAGCAAACGCACCACAGGGGGGGATGTTAACAGGGATGTACCGAAGTTCTCAAACCTTCCGGCCCGCCTGAAGACGTCGCGCACCAGGGGATACCTAAAGGTTAGGGGTTTAGGATTTAGGGTTGATAGGGTTTAGGTTAGAGTTTTAGGATTCGTCTCAGCAGGGAGAACATTGACATTGCGCAAGACTCGCTGTCCTCTCGAAGACGCCCATATGACAGCTTAGATATACAAATGCGACATCTGAAAAGGAACGCTAATCCTTTTTGAGCTAAACCCCATCCAGTCAATATCAAATATTTGCAATATACTACGATAGACTGCAATTGGAACATGTCATGTGGGGTGCTAATATTAGAGGGCGAGGATTAATTATAGTGGCCCCCTGATCATCCGCATCTCTAGGAGCACTGAGGATATTCACCCCTGCCTCTCGTCAGAAACATGGGGCATCTCTAAGGAACTCAGGGAGTCTGGCGAGAACAAATTTTAGACTGAATTCAAAACCTTCAGCGATTCCCCCTTACAGGAACGTGTACAATAGGAGTTCTAACAGACCCCTCGAAAAAGCCCTCTGAGGACAGTTACCCTAAACTCTAAACCTTCAACCCTAAATAGTAGCTTCCATTTTCTTTTCCATTATCTCTGTATAACCCACTATATGACTCTAATGTAACCCCTATGAAACCCCTATGAAACCCCTATGAAACCCCTATAAAACTCCTATACAACAATGTTGTCGTCACCCGCCAAGCAAGGGACTGTTGTCGCATCGAGTCCCGGATCTTCTGGAGGACAGCCTTGGGGCTTAAGGTCAGGAATTAGGGTTTAGGGTTTAGGATTCTGATGGCAAGGTCTTCTGAAAGATTGGGGTTTAGATAGGGGTTGGACATACATTTGGGGGGTTGGCTCCAGGATTTTATTTGCATCAATTCCTGGGGGCATGAGGGGCAGTCAAGAAGAATACATATCAAAGGGGTTGAGGCCTCAGGAATCGTCGATTTCGTATGTTCATGTGACGTGGACTGGAGGCTTGAATTAAAATCGCGGAGGTCTAAGCCGCAAACCAAGAATTTTGGCATGCCTCCTCAAGCGCTGTCGTTACCAGCCCTCGCCTTCGCGGGAGGCTCAGGCTTTGTCGTCTTTGTCGGCGAAACCCTTGCCTCCCACTATCACAGCGGGCGGCTCAGGCACTTCGTCGTCTTTGTCATCGCCAGCCCTCGCCTCCCACTATCACAGCGGGCGGCTCAGGCACTTTCTCGCCTCCCACTATCACAGCGGGAGGCTCAGACTTTGCGAAACTGCCTTCCACTATCAGTGGGAAGCTGCCCAGTGCATCGACATGAATCCTGCCGGCCTAACCTCCAAACTAACCACCTACTGACATAAGATTTCAACGGTTCACCTTTCCATCGGGACCAACGACATATGCGTAATAAAATCCTGCAAGCAGCCACAGGGAACCAATAATAGCATGCTACATGAAGAGCTGATGAAACTCAATGTTGAGGCTCAAGCCCCTAGATTTCATTCTACAGCGTCCGGCCCCTATGGTTCAGGATAATAATTGATAATTAAGGCTGTCTGGCTTGCAACCCTGCTTTGAGACGCAGCCCAAAAGATACACTAACCAGCTGGACTGACTACAGAGTATTTAGGAATACCAGGGATCATCATGCAAACTTCGACGTGCCACGGTCAGCGAGAAGCCAGCCTGTTCTCCCTGCGCCCTAAAACACCTAGGCCAGAACCCGTCCTTTCTCCATCGTACCATAAGCACATTAAAACACAAAGTTCCTAACCCTAACCCCCAACCCATTACTCCAAACCCCTACGCCTATAGTCCCCCTTAGGCAGATAGAATATGGCTTGGGGCATATTATACTAAGGTCCCCATATACCCCAGATCCCATCTACTTAAGGGGAACTATAAACCCTTCATGTCTGGATCTGGGCCCTCCCGCTTCCAGGTGGAAGGTCCGCAGTAAGGCATCAGGATTCTCGAATACCTGCGGTTTGGGGCTCTAGAGTGTAGGATTGGGGTTTAGGGTTTAGGGTTTAGGGATTGGGTTTAGGGCTAGGTAAGCATACTATCACAAACTCCAAAAATCTCCAAGAGGAGCACACAGGTTTCCAACCTTCATAACCCCCATATAGTCGTTGCCAATGTCTCCATGCTTCGTAACCCTCTTTAGCCCTTTAAGTCTCCTTTCATGCCCCGTTTGAACCTTCCATACTAGCAGGTACATAGCCCCCCTTAAGTAGACAGAATATGGGGTATATGGGGATCTTATTGTAATATACCCAAAGCCACATTCTATCTACTTAAGGGGGATTATGGACAACCATAAGAGATGACCTGGATACAACTCGGGAGCTTTTCGCGCACATGGCCCTAGGCATGTGTCCGAACACAGGTCCCCCGATGCATGCACTTCACAGAAAGCGCTCTTCATTCCAGAAAAATCAAAAACGGGCCCTAAACCCTAAAACCTACA